GGCGTCTTCCGGCTGAGATCAGCGTCTCGCCGATGATGAATACGAACGCACACGCCCTCGATAGCATTCGGACGCGCATTCACGTAACGCATAAGCACAAGCATGCTTACAGAATGACACGCAGACGTGCGCATGCAACACATTGAGGAGAAGCGAGAGGAAAGAAGAGGAAGAGGAGGGTAGAAAAGAAAAAAAGAGGGAAAGAAAGGGGAGACGGGAAAGGGGAAAGAGATAGTAGTTGAAATTGAAGTTGCCCTTCTGCTTCAGGTTTCATCGAAAACATTGATTCGAAGGAATTTTAGATGTACACATAGCTTTGGTACTCTCCTAAGACATGGTGTATTATTCATTTAATTTCAAGAGCTTCAGAATTTATATTTTGTTGGAATGTATAGAAAGTTGTATATGTTTTTTAGAAGATTATTAGATTTTAAACAATCTGGATCATGAATTATTTCCAATGTATTTTGTTAAGACACTACTACAAAATACAATGTGGAAGGCTTTTATATTTTGCTGTAGTTCCCCATGATCACCATAGAAAACGAACGTAGTAGTTTTCTGTGAAAGGAGAATATGCAGGGTATGGGTGACTAAAGTATTTTCAGTCTTCAGTATAGACCGTTTAGATCATAGGTATTTTACCATTGTTGATTGTCGTTTATTCTTATGTAAACTGATATGCGAAAAGATATCACTGCGTATTGATTATTCTCATTTTTTTATCTACAAAAATATATGTGGTCACCCTATAACTTTTATGTTCTGTCTATTCCTTTGTTCTGTGTAAGGAAAAAGAACAAAGGCCTTTTGTTTGGCAGATATTTATATAAGGTAAAATTTTCGTTATATAATATTTTTTCTACTTGGCTTTGAAGATGATCATGACGTAAATAATTAGGAAGATAATTAAGATTTCATCTCCGTATTTGCCATTGTATATTATTCATATTGTTACGTCCTCGATCTCTTTCTCGCTATTCACCATGAAGTAATGAATGATTTTTCTTTTTCTTTCAGGTAAGTGTACCTTGCACATGAACCAACCGATGCCCCTATAACCAAGAAAGCACTGTACGCAGGACGGTAAGTTACGAAGCGCTTGTCTTGAAGCTATTTTCGGGAGGCAGGGGGGGAGGGGAGGGGTGGTTATGGGGATCTAGCACGCAAGATATGGGCGTACGGGTTTGATGGGAAAGGAGGCGGACGGTTTGCTTGGTCTCGGTGATCCAACTGCGGTCGAGGGATGTTATGGAATGCTCGTCCGGGTTTCATCCCTCTCTCTTTCTCTCCTTTATTCTCTCTTTCTTATTCTGCTTCTCTCTCTCTCTCTCTCTCTCTCTCTCTCTCTCTCTCTCTCTCTCTCTCTCTCTCTCTCTCTCTCTCTCTCTTCTCTCTCTCTCTCTCTCTCTCTCTCTCTTATTCTCTCTCTCTCTCTCTCCTCTTATTCTCTCTTCTCTCTCTCTCTCTCTCTCTCTCTCTCTCTCTCTCTCTCTCTCTCTCTCTCTCTCTCTCTCTCTCTCTCTCTCTCTCTCTCTCTCTCTCTCTCCTCTCTCTCTCTCTCTCTCTCTCTCTCTCTCTCTCTCTCTCTCTCTCTCTCTCTCTCTCTTCTCTCTCTCTCTCTCTCCTCTCCTCCACTCCCTCTCCCTCCTCTCCCCCCTCCTCCCTCTCCCTCTCTCCTTCTCTCCCTCTCTCCCTCTCCCCCTCCTCTCTCCCTCTCCCTTCCCTCTCCCTCCTTCCCTCGGACACTTACTTCCAGAGGCGGAATTCCCCTGCCAAAAACTCTCCACTAAAACACCCTCACCGTCATTTTTATCATTGGGCGTGGGAATGTATTGATCTCCCTGGTGGGTGGCATAACCGTGTTGGTGGAGGTGGTTCTCCACAAGGAAGGAGTGTGGAGGAGGGGGGGAAGGGGAAGGCTCGGGATGCAGGCAATGGGCGTAGATGGAAGGATAGGGGTGGGGCGGGGGGGAGGGGGTAGATGGGGCCACGTGATCAACAGTTTGACACGCGCGTTAGGAGCCTGGTTTACCGTGCGGGCGTGCTTTCTTCTCTACCTTCCGATTCTCTCTCTCTCTCTCTCTCTCTCTCTCTCTCTCTCTCTCTCTCTCTCTCTCTCTCTCTCTCTCTCTCTCTCTCTCTCTCTCTCTCTCTCTCTCTCTCGCTCTCTTGTTATTATTGTTTTACTCTCTCTGCTCGTTCCCTGTTCCCATTTTTGCTATTATTGTTTCACTCTCTCTGCTCATTCCCTCTTTCGTTTTTTCTCTCTTTCTCCGTCCCCTTCTCCCCCCCCCTCCCACCTTCCTCGCCCCTTGCCCTTTCCTCGGCCTCCCGTCCAGCCGTTCCCTCCCGCGTGGCCGGCCTCCTTGGCACTCCCTGGCACTCCCTGGCCCTTTGTTCTCCCCAGGATGGTGTGATCAGCGTGTGTCGGCGGCGTGATAGTGAAAGGTAATTCGGGAGGGGACCTGGGGCCTCGGGGCGCGGGGCGGCCGTTGGT